GCAGGCTTAAAGGTGCCCGGTATATAAAACAATACGAAGAGACACTTTTTACGGTCCACGTTTTTTGTTAAGGTTTTGAAGGTCTTTATCCGCTCATGCACGAAGGGGTCATCTTCATATAGTGAGAGGACTGGCTTATTAGCAATATATAAGCGTCACCGGGACGCTGGCGAGCCTCGAACACTACTCTATATTCCTTTCGGTTGTTATTTTGCTTCGAATCGTCGCTTGTTTTTACACACCTGCTGCTGAATACATGTTTCGGACTGAAATATAGCGAAGCTAAACATCGCTCACCGATGACGAAAAGTGCGCTGACTAAATCAATTACACTTTTAGAATGTTAATCAAGGTACATACTATTCGGTACGACCCAAATAACCAAAACGTTCAGTGTTGTTTTCCGGCGAAGAGACAAAATGCACGCGCGTTTTCCCATAGGAATGCACAGGAGCACCGCAAATGTAGACTGGTTGCTGTCTGCTTCAATTTGCGTCACGGAAGTCGCATAGACACTAGCGCCAGTTGAACCTCTAGCGTACATTATAATAACTCTATGGGTTGTACGGCCCTGCACGTTCATACTTGTGTTTGCAAGAGCAGAAAGCTCGCGCTGAAGGCGGCGCTTCTAGCCTTAGCTTAAGGGCGAACGGAGTGTAGTGCGAGCAATCACGTGCAGTTGCAATCCTGCCAAAGCACATACCGGTTGTGAGCCAAAGTCACCTTCACTCGCATGCTGCACCTGTTTTTCCTTATGGAGCACCAGCCGGGAAACAGCCAGTGGTATGCGGGCTCTTTACTGGATGCCATATTTGAGAGCTATGTTTAGAGCCCAGAGCCCAGAACGAGCTCAAATTTGTACGTCATCAAGACCGATAATCTTGATGGTGCCGAAAGCCAGTTGCAAAATAACTGTGGAATCTTGCCGGCAGTACGCGCTCAGCAGTCGCACACACAACTATGGCCGCCAGTGAACACCCTCTAGGGACACTTTCAGGAAGCTGTGCATGGGCGCCGCCATAACCGACTTTCAGTTTTTGTTTTCTGCTCACTTCTCTTTAAGAATGCCACAGCAGGGCAGGTTTCAGCCACTTCAGGTGCTACTGTGTCCTTCTCCCTAGCTTGGGACTTTCTGATGGCTCGTCAACGCCCGCCTCAGTGGCTCAGCATCTCGGTGAGACAAGAAAAGGCCGGCAATGGCGGCTCAATCTGGCGTGTTTTTGAAGTGTTTAAAGAGAGGAAAGACATTTCCCGTGACATTATATAAAGCTTAAACTTAGAACCACGATTATGATCACCAACACGACTGAAGTGTCGTTATCCTGAAGCGTAGCTTATTTCTTGGCTCTAAAGTCACCCCAACCAACGTGATCGTGTTGGGGTGAACGGCGCTTTCACTTCACGAGCACGCGTGCATAGCGAGCCCGCTCAAAGCGTTGCACTCTTTTTCGCGGCATCGTCTTCGCTCGGAATTACGGGGAAATGAAGTATACACTCGGCTTCAACTATTTTGTGCTGCGTTGTTTAAGCTAGAGTAGCTTCCGCAGTGCTTCAACATTATCAGAACTACTTGCATCAATTTGTGCGAATGGGAAAAGAAGCCACGTCCTAAGAAATGTCTGCGTTTTTACTTGGCCACAAAACACTCAAAGAGCCAGTCTCTGCGATCGACAAAGTCAGCTCAGCCAATGATGAGGCGAAACATCCGTTTAGACCTCAAAATTAAGTTTGCGTTGTGGCATTACGCATTGCTAGCATGACGTTTTGCATTTCGTAATGCCACAGCGCACACTTCATTTTTACGTCTGAGCGGATGCTCCGCCTCATCGTTCGCTGAGCTGATTTCATAGATCTCAGAGATTGGTTCTTTGAGTGTTCTTTTGCGTAAGTAGAAGCGCAGACATTTCTTAGAGCTCATGTGCTCTCGCAGCAGTTCGGGGCTACAGTACTATGTAAGGTATACACTGGCCTCAACATCGTAGCGCAAATAGCTGACGCTAAATCTAATGATTCCAAGAAAATTGAATTGTTACACGTTTCCACTTTATATAAGCGGTTGATATTTAACTTTTGTAAAAACTCTAGTTATTCTTCTTTTTGATTTGTTGACGTATACAAAGAAGAAGATCACCCAAGGATCAGTTCCACATCGAAATTGAAAGTCATTCTTAATTGTCAGATATTCTGAAACTTTTCGTAGTAGTGAAAAGCCCTAATATTGCAAATATTTAGATGCCACAAATACCAAAGATAAAAAAAAAAGGAATGAAGAAGTGCAGTGTTCTTACACGGCCGGACTGGAAGCGCGCGCTCTGTTCTCTTCTTACGACCTTAGCAATTGGGGCAATCGCCACTTCCCGCTGCAATTCGCGGGGGGCGCTGTCACCTCACCCCTGGCAGAGCCGTTTATACTGGTAAAGCCCCTCGATGTGTTCGCGCTTGCCTTGCAAGTAGCGTCAAATGCGCGAGTCCACGAGGCCCATGTCTCGAGCGGCCCTTGGAAGCAAATGGCGGCGCAGCACTGAAATGAGCGGGCCTTGGAAGCGAATGGCGGCGGAGCACCCGCTCATGGCACGTTTCTCGAGCGCTTCCACAACAATGGTTGGCGGTACTTGTGAAAAACGCTTTTATCAAGGGACTTTAACCCCTGGGCTATACTTTACCGCTTGCAGAGAGCGCGTCTGACAATGTATCACAGCGCTGTCGCAACATGCGGCCGAGATTTTTATAGCCTTTGACACCTGATTGTTACGTTTAGACCCTCAGCCACTGTCTAACGCGCTTCTGGTGAACCCAAGATGGTGAACATTTGACGCACATCTCCGAGAGATTCGGGAGTAAAAAGTAGTAAGTAAAGACAGCAAATGCAATTGCGGAAAAGCTATACTCGTCTTTACCTCCAGGACTTCCGTTGCAACCCAAGAACAGGAGGAGACTGACCCCTCCTACGTGGAGGAAGTTTAAATGATAAATAATTAGCACACTCTCGTGAAATGTAAGCCGGCCCAATCTATCTATTGCCGTGGTCTGCTTCATTGTTTCATAGGCCGCACATGAAGTCAGTCAGCTGCTCTAGACGAGGGTGTAGTAGTCTATACAATTTTCGCACAGTGCATATTACAGCCTAAAGTGCTTGCTCCAGGGCTTGTGCACATATCCAGCTGATTTTTCGTCACAGGGGAACGCAGTTTGCTGACGACACTGCCTGTCGGTAGAGTTACTTAAATCGAAGCGAAGTTAAATAAACCGTTGCCAAAACAACAACCTACGAAGCTCGAACACCAGCGCAAGTCAGCTCGAAGGGACTCTCCGAGTGGGGTGAAGTGGGGTGAGGTTGTTGCGCCCCAGAAAGAGAGCGCGCGCTTCCAGTCCGGCCGTGGTTCTACGTGGAGGTATTCACTGGACGCTGTATTTGAGGGTGATGTGTAGAACGCATGCTCAGAACGAGCTCACATTAATAGCCCGCTAATACCGGCAACCTTGATGGTGCTAAATGCACGCTCCAGAAGGACTGCGGAAGCTCGCCGTCAGCTCGCGCTCAGCAGCAGCGCACACGGATATGGCCGCCAGTGAATACTCCCTATATGGGTCTCGCGCGCAGGAAGTTGTTTAACACGACATCACATACGTTCTATTTGTGCGGGCGCGGGATAAAAAAATGATGGAGGAAGTGAAAGAATAAGCTCACTTCACACAAAAAGAATATTGAAATATTATGTCAGACGAAATACTTTTAATGCAGTGATATTCGAACATTAGAAGCGAAATAGAAGAAACCAAAGAAGAAGAACGGCGGAAATCTAGAGGTGCGCCCAGTGGGCACGTTTGAGTGGTCCAAAAAAAGCATGCCACAGCCGACATAACCAGGAGAATTACCACAGCAACCAAACACCATCTGCGGCAGACCATCGGCCGCTACCAGATGCCCAAGGTCATAAGGTATGCGGGCTAGTCATGCTGATCGCCGCCGAACCACATCTTGCACTCACACCGCGGCAGAGTCGACAACTTCAGAAACCAGCGAGAGCACGGCTACATCCTATCATCATGTGCCACTGGCCCAGATTCCGCAGTATCAAAATGGCACCAGTTTCACCGGGAGCTCCGATCAAATCTCCACTGCTTCGTCGGAGCCTGTGACGACCGCACACCGTCTCCAATACATCCGTAACCTGATTGGTCAGCGACTTACAGAGCAAGGTATCAGGCCTTACGAGACCCACATACTTGCGGAAGAGGCATCACAAAGTGCTGTTCACAGGAGTGACGTAACGAATGCGTTCTCGGCCCCATCTACTACGGGATACTCTACCCACTGCAGTGAGAAAATTGAAAGTGAGAGTTACGCAGACCCGCTCCGGCCGTGGGAGACTAGCGAACTTTACAAGTCAGATAGAATGGACGGCGGCTCAAAAGAGTCGATTCTTTCATCAGTATCACACACAAAAAATCCTTCTATCGTGACAAGAGCAACTTTCGCGGCTTCAGCTCTTGTTTTGTTCTCCACCACTGCCGTGGCCGCCTTTTACACGTATGGTGCATTTTCGCACAAAGCGTCCACACTGAAGGCAGCCCCTATGGATCAGTTTCAACCTTCCGCCATCTACCACGCAGCTTTTAACGTGTATCACTACACTAGAAGCACGAAGCCTGGCTCTGAAATAGCCACCGAGCACGTCGTAAGAGACCTGGTCACCCGCACCGCAACGGACGCCAAGAAGCCGGAGCCCTTTACTGACGACGACGATCTCGGGAAGACAACTGTCGAAGAAACGCGAAGTCGCAAAAAAGTGGCGGTGTGGGAAGGCAAGCGAATCTACGAGGCTGAACACGTCGACGAACACACAGGACCTCAGTCCTCGCCCGGGAGGGTTAAAGGCGTGAAAGCTACGCAGAACATATACATTGCCAAGTCACAGCCTCCCAAAATGTTAACAAGAGTAGTGCAGCATGCTTTTGTAACATCCAAGAAAGCAACACTTTACACCGCAGAGTCTGCCACGAAACGACGCACGAGAACACGGGTAACACTGAGCAACAAAAGTGGTAAATTTTGTGAAACCAAAGTTTGCGAACGGGAGTCCGTTTACCTCATCAGTTACCTGGACTGGAGTGTCAAGCCCTGTACTAATTTTTATGATTTTGTCTGTGGGCACTGGAAGAATTTACATCCCGAAATTGGTTCTTCAATAGACACATTATTAGTTCGAAGAGTTGAAGAAGATATCTACCAGGCTTTTACAAATGAAGAGAAGCCCAAGAGCCAGATGCTCAAGACCGAGGCACTCATTAACACCTGTGTTAACAAACCTTTCTCGGAAGACCACACGTCGACACTCCTTGACTTCATGGGTGACCTGGGGCTCCGAGGATGGCCCTTTCAGAAGGACACAAAGACATTGGCAGACGTCTGGAGAGCGGCAAGTTCACTTCTTCGACAACTGGGACTCGCCACGCTTGTCTCTGTGAGTGTTGACGCCGACCCTGACTCAGACGATAAGTACATCATATCGCTGGGCGAACCAAGCCTCCTGATTGGTCAATACGGCACTAAAAACAGTCAGCTGCCAGAGTGGTACAGCATGGCCATTTCGACGTGTTTTAAAATTTTCACAAGTGGAAAATACGTTGAGATTGCCAAGAAGGTTCGAGATTTTGCCTCTAGACTTGCCGAGATATCGGTGAACCGAGGAAACGAGATCTTCAGTGCTAACAAGTTCACAGTGGTGCAGCTAAAACATCACAGCAACATGATTCAGTTACTTACTCTTCTGTTCAACAATATTACGGTTGTGCACAGTAAACTGAATGTCCTCGTCAAATCGGAGGTTTACCTGAAGGAGCTCAGGAGTGTGTTGCACGTCAGTAAGGGCGCCGATATGCTAAATTACTTGGGTTTCCGAGCACTGCTTCACATCTCGCCACTGCTTCCAGATCAAGCCGTCCAACTTGCAGCTATTCAAATGAAGGAAATCACTGGAATCCACCGTTCCCAATGGCCGCGATGGCGCCGTTGCCTACGAATGTTTGAACGGGTGGCTCCGACAGTGTTCCTGATGACTTATGCCCAAACACACCGGAGACTCGCTAACAAGGACAAGGTATGGTTATTACTGAACGAGATTCAAGCCAGCTTCGTTTTAAACATTAACACCGCTCCATGGATGAGCATTGAGGATAAGGTAATGCTGAAAGACAAACTGTCCAGGTTAAAGCTTGAGGTTTTCCATAAGTTTTGGGCGAGGTCTAATCGCAAGCGTTCCGCGGTTGAATTCATACCCGACTTCGAATCAGGGAGCATCATCAACATGTACAAGTCATTAGCGAAGCAGCTGATGACGAGAAAGCTTTCCAAAATAAAATTGCGCAGGTCTTACGAAGAAACGGAATGGAAAGGGTCTGTCTTCGATACCGATCCGGTGTTCGATCAGGAGTCTGACAGCATCTTCATTCCGATGGCCATGTTTGACCCGTCATACATGATTGACAGCGAGTCTATGCTGCTTCAAGTGCCGCGCGTTGCGACAAAGATAATCGGAGTTCTCTTCAAGGGAATTCATCATCACAACATCCCGTCTGACAAAGTCAAGTGGTCGCTCGACACTGAACTGGGCTACCACGACGTACTGAAGTGCCTCCAGAAGCACTACGGAAACACTAAAAATAACGAGAAACTTAGAACGCAGATCACTGCTGAGCTCAGCATACTGGACAGCATGGCCATTCTGCCTGCTTTTAAGCTATTCCTGAAAAAGGTGAACAAGGTGAACATTGAAGACTACGGACTGCTCACGGGTCTAAACATCACGGTCAAGCAGCTCTTTTTTATTCTGTATGCAAAAGGCCTTTGCGAGACGATGGACTCGAAAAGAGAAAAAGAGGTAATGGATGAATCTGCTTTCAATATCGGCAGCTTGCGCGTCAACGTACCGCTTCAAAATTCGTTCAGGTTCCCGACTTTCTGGGATTGCTCGAGTGATTCGCTAATGAATCCGCACCAAAAGTGCACGATATGGACGTCGTGAAAGTGCTGTGGTTTTTGGAATTTTTGCGAACTGGGAAATGTGCCGTTTGTAAATAAACTATACCAAGTGACTCCACTAATTCGACTGGCATTCGATTCGCAGGGTACCTCCAGTTACACGGCAGTGGTAATACAAACAGACAACAGCATGCAAAGAATAACGATGTACTTTCAGCACAAGTACGAGTCGTACCCGAACGTAATTTAAAGAAAAACAACTTCTACAATTTACTTTTATCATATCCACACTAATTTATTTGCATTAGCCCGGTTCTACGGCGTGGGCCCGTTCCCCATTTGAGTTAGTGTGTTATAATATAGAAATAATGACGCTAGTTTGCCACGTACATTCGGTCAGGAACAAATAACTATGTAACAACATGATTTACACCTCAATATGCCAAACTCCACTCACCTCTGTCACGCTGGAGTGCCTGCGAATGCATTCACCAACCTGAAATATATATATCTATGTATGTATACATATTTCATTTGTTCATTACAGCATTATTGAAAATTAATCATATAATACCAAAGTGTCTTATGAAAAAATTGGCAGCGACTTTTGCCTTCACAGTTTTATTATCCGTGAAATGCATTATGGGGAATTGGTGAGTCACGTGACGTATATTTTCTCGCTAAACTTAGCGGAGAAAATGAATAGTTTTATACGTCACTTGACGTCAGGTCACGTGATGTCAATTTTCTCTGACAGATTTAGCGGGAAAACTCGGTTGCTGCCTAGGTCCCAAGACGTGAATTTTCCCCCTAAATTTAGTGGGCGAACTTATCTTACGTATAAGTCACGTTAAGTCACTTGACGTAAAGTGACGCCACTTTCCCCGTTAAATTTAGCGGAAAATAAACGGACAGACGGACGAACAAAATTTTGGAATTGGAATGTAGCGTTGAAAGCATTTCATGCCTTGAAACTCGATTACCGTTTATAGATTCAACAAACCAAAATTCAGAAACCGAGCGAACAGATATGGCGTATGCTCAAACAGATTGAGACAATAATACAACAGCGCTGCTACCCATTGAAAGTGGGCGTCAGCAGAAAGAAATGACGAAATTGAGTGCATCGTTTAGGATATCTCAAGACTCTGTGCTCAACCCAGGTGCAGTCGCTCGCGCAAGAGAAAGGGTTTCCGAAGTGACACGTTGTTCCCAGAATGATCATAGCGCCATTAAATGCAAAGGTGCAAGCGAGCTGGACAAGAATGACGAAAATAATCCCCGGAGAAGGGGAACAAGGGGGACAAAAGACAAACACGAATCTCCAAACACAGCTAGGGACTGGAGCGCAACCGAAAAAGTCCGCCCGGTCCTTGCATCGTACCAGGGCTTGTACAAGCTATCCTGTATCTTATGGGTAACCGTTCGACGCTGCTCCTGCACCGGTACAGAAAAGTGCGTTGGCGGTGCACTTCCGGTCGTATCTCAATACACATACCGGAAGTACACTGCCCTCCATTTTTCTGCACCGGTGCAAAGCTGCTGGCGCGACCGCATGGCTTCATCTATAGTTTCATGTGCGCGAGAACGCGTGCAATTTATCTGCTAGATCACACACCATGCAAGCGCCAGCAGCTTTAATAGTATGAAGCGGAGTATAAAATAAAGGAGCTAGTATCGGGGGCCGGTTTGCTAGAAGCCGTGTATTAGCAAAAGCTGGGTGAGCGGAATCACTGCCAGATCCAGCGCACAGGCTGAGCAGCACTTAAATCAAGTCTGAACGCGCTCGCGTCGAGACTTGATTTTGGTTTTTTAGTGGTGCCCCTCTATGGTTTTGGTGTTTTGGTGGGACCCTTTTATGATTACCTCTCTTGACGTCATTACATTGCGAGCAACAAGTTTAATGGTGTCTGTAATGAGCATGGTGGAAGCTTAAAATCATGGCGCTCTGAAGGCAACGGTGCCAATACCGTCAAAATTCAAATTATTAAAATATTCTTATTTCCGCCGATGGAAAATCCTTTGCTGAGATCATAGTCAGCATTCGGCCAATCGTGGAAGGCCGATCACACGCTGCAGAGCTCTGTAGGCTTCGATCGCTCACGTCGCCAATATCGCATGCAGATACTATTAAACAGAATATATAGTGATGCCGGCTCTGTATCAGTACTGCGTTGCAGAGCTCTGTAGAAGCTGTGCTACACGCTCCTTCTGCTGGGCAAACGAGCGTTTTTAAAAGCCGTAGGAGAGCTTTGCTCGCCAAAAATCTCGGAGGCCATGACCAGCCTGAAGGCTTGAGAAAGAGAGGGGCTTCATTGGGGCAAGCCTTGTAGACGTACCATGCGTGTGACTGCATTGCGCATGCGCAAAGCTTGAGTATCATAAATCCGCTTGCTGATGTGGCCGCCCAATGCCGGGAGTTTGCAGTCAACCACAGTATTTCCGTTAGTATCCTAAAAAGAAAGAGTTTGAAACTGTCAGTCACCGGTCTTAATAAAAATAGACTTGACATGAACATTTGGGCCAGCGCTAAATTTGAAGTGCAGAGAAACTCGTAATATCAACAACTAGTCAAGCTGTCATGGCTGATCCAGCCACTCGAAAAACGACGATAGCGTCACTGTGTGTTTGAAGAAACGAGTCCAGTGTTTTCGTGCGAACACTACACGGTGCGCGCAGAAAAAAGTTGGATGCTGCACTGCCGAAATAGCAAATAATAAACGTGCATATATTTGTAAGAGAGTTTTGTTTTCAAAAGTGAGTTTAATCTAGTATTCACACATAACTTCAATATTTTGACTTATACGGCCGGTTTGCTCATCAGTCGCGGTCAACTTTAACCGCGGCCAAGGTTAACTGCCCTTCCCAATTAGGTGTAAGTACCCAGTCACGTTTGACGAGGACTGAATGTGCGTTAGCTTTGTGTTTTATTATGGGGTGGCAACTTCACTCATTTATTGGTTTTTGAGAATATAAGTGGTTTTCGCCGAACACTTTATGTACAAGTGAGACCCGTGTACGCGCGGTGTCAGGCTTCCGCGACGCAGAGCGGTATAACTTTGAGCTTAAGAAACACTTTTTGTCGCTTATGGTAGAAATATTGGGTAAGGTAAAGCCAAATAGACTATATGTGAAATTTTTTGGACGTCTGGCAACACTCTGTGCGCTGCCTTCTTTGTTTTGTCAAGACTCCTCTGCTGTTCGCCAATTTCGTAGCGTTGTCGGTAACAATCGTGGCAGTCTGCTCACCATCGTCGATCCTCACCCTCACCTTCGAACTAAGGGTTAGTAATATTTTATGTTTTTGTTGCGCTTGTACTTGCTCGTCGCCCAGCCGGTCGTTGGTTTCTCGCCGCAACCAACATGGCGGATGTACACTTCAGCTCAAAATTTGTCTTTGAGTGCCGGCAAACGTACGGCAGCGGGAGCGTGGTTTTCGAACGCGCTTTCTTACTCGATTTCTTGCACGAGCGGAGGATCCTTTAGAACTATGCTTTCGCGCCCTGGCCTTTCCCAGTGACGAAGCCATGCTGATAAGACGGAGCATGTTCTTCGGAGTCCTACTAGATGGCGCTGTGCATTTCGCACAGCGTACAGCGCACACTGAGACTTTCAAAGTCCCCTGGAGCTTGCCGAAGTATTGGGCTTCACGGTTTCTAGAGATGGACAGCAAACACTTGAGGTTACCCCAGCCGCACCAGCGGACAGGCCTGTCTCGAACGAGACTACGCCCTCCAGTGGCCCGCATAGGCCGTCTATCGAGGCAACAAAGAGACGAATAAAGGACTGGTGGAAAAAGATCTACCTCAGGGGGCAATAACACGCAGATGCTCCAGGCTTGGGCATGAATATTGTTCAAGCCCGCCCAATCTAAAGGAAACAGCCGTATCATCATCATCATCATGTAAAGTCCGTCCATAAAATTATACGCTTTTCCAGCGTCTCCGGGCGATCGGCGTGGCACATGCAACAGCAGATGACCTGACTTTTCCTAGCGGTTCACGATCACACCGTGAAAAGACGCAGCGCTTTCTACTCGACTTCTTAAAATCGACGACTCTGCTTACACGTTTGTGACCATATCTTCTTAACCGAACGATGCTCTCGATGTGATTGCGTGCTTTGGAGCGCACATAAGTGCCGCTTTAGAACAATATGTGTGAAGTGAATATGTATGAGTCAGGTTGTATGTGAGCAACAAAGCCAACAGATCAATGTTAGGCTAACCGCTTACTATTAAAACGTCATTCTCTCTCTCTCTTTCACGCTTTCAAGTACCGCCAACCATTGTTGTGGAAACGCGCAAGACGCGTGCCCCGAGCGTGTGTTCCGCCGCCATTCGCTTCCAAGTGCCGCCCAATTCAGTGCTACGCCGCCATTTGCTTCCAAGGGCCGCTTGAGGCACAGGCCTCGGGCACTGGCGCATTTGACGCTACTTGCAAGACAAACTCAAACAGATCGAGGGTCTTTACGCATATCTTCTATCAATTCGTGTTTGGCGAATTATTAAATGTTCGGTTAGTATGGCTGTCTGAAGTCGAGACAAGCGTCGTTGAAATTTCCTTCCCAGTATGGAAGAGGACGACGAAGTTCAGTGCTAGAAACGTTAGCATGTAAGAATTGTACTGAGAGTTCTGGAGAAAAATTAACCGTGTTTTTTGGCCCGTATAAATCAACTATGTATAGCAGAAAGCTCAAACTCCATGAGAATGTGGCGATAGCGGTTGCGATAGATTACGAAAGTTTAACAACATAACGCTACCTAGTATTAAATCAAATTGAGAAAAATGAAATGTCTCTATCAGCCGATGTCCAACCAATCCTAATGTCAAAAGGAGAAATTACATTGTGGGCGCCTGTAGCCTCTATTTCAACGAAGAAAAAGGAACTTGTTAGCACGATAATGAACAATATAATCTTTCTTGCTGAGAAGTGCCTTTTACTGATATAAGGTCCACAAGCGTCCACAATGTCGAGTTCTGTTTTTCCAATATTAGGCTCAGATGGACTCCCAATATTAGCCAATATTTCCAATATTAGGCTCATAAAGAAATTTAATTGTTCTCAATTATATTTTTATCCAAGTTACGTTATGCTCTCAAACTTTCGCGTTCTATCCCAAGTTCTATACGTCGCGTTCTCACGAAGTTCAAGTTGTCTCTGATGCATAGTTTATTTAACCGGGCCGAAAAACAAGGATCTTTTGTTCTCGAGAACTTCTTCTGCTTTAAACCTTCTTCACGAAATGAAAATCTCGTACTTTGGTTCCAGTGAACATTGGTACATGGTCTGCTTCTGCCTGCCATCGATGCTCGGCTGATCGAGTCAAGACAATCCAGATTTCAAAGGTGTTGCCATGTCGACAATTAGCGCGTTCCTCGGGGCATAAGAATGGCCAGAATGAAAATATGATCTTAAAACTTAGACGAGATCGTTGCTTATACTTCGCGATTTTAGTGAGGTAAGGCAAAGCGAGAGCCTCCTGCACCATTCATTCTACCCTACCTGGGAGGAGCACCGTTATGTTTCTCTTCCTTCCCTACTCTGCCGGTTACGTGACCTGAAATTTCCCCTCCTAGGAAAATGGGGTTCACTTTCTACCGCCGTTAAATTTAACCATGCTGACGAGCAAAGGGGCCCAGGGTGGATGAAGGAACGAAATGTTAAATAACTCACCCTTACCTTTGTGATTTAAAGGCTACGTATGTGTGTACACTGTGCAAGTGTTAGCGCGAAAACAACTTCCGCGTATTTTTCTCGCATTCTACTTCAATATAGTACTGGTGGGCATCACAAATTATCATATAGTTTAATACCCAAATTGGGCACTTTCCACAACCATGGTTTTCCTGCGTCCTTCAATACTGGAAGAAAACGGCGATGATTTGTGCTCGTTATCAGTGTCGCGCAGTGTGAATGTATGTACATGTCGTACATGGGCTGACTTTTTTGTGAATCCACTATGCTCTACAACACCTTTAGTTTTACTGGTGCATAGGGCTGGGCAAATGATCGATTAGCTTACCCAATAATCGTTTATTGCTTCAATGGCGATCAGTTTTTTTTCCCCCATCGGTTAATTAGTAAAAGTTTGACAAACCAAAGGAAAGTAAAAATTAAACGCTTTGAGCACGCAGACTTGGACAAGTACACGTGTATGAAGGGCAAACTTTACGTCAAATCTTAGAGTAAAATCAGCTTTAAGGGCGAGATTTGTAACTCCAGAAAAGTGCAGAAGATTACACGTGTCCCGGCCACTTCAACGCCATTCGAGCGTTCATTTTGCGCAGCAGAGACTATTGTGAACAATCAAGTGAAGTCGCTCTTGCTGGAGATTATCAAGGAGCCTCTGCCTAATGCGGCTGAACTAATCTGCGAAAATGAGCGCCTTTAGAACTATTCTTAACTATATATTGAGATTAATTCTTTATCAAAGTTGTACATTGCGCTGTTTTTCAAATATAAGGCAAAGGCAAAACAAAATATATTAATTTGGCTTCTTTATATCATGCGCTTGAAATAAATTAGACCGATTAATTTAATAATGAATCGTTTAGAGAGTGGCAATTAATCGGGTTCAAACTTGTAATGGATGCCCAGCCCTACTGGCGTGTGTGTATGCAGTGGCGTCACTAGGGTCAGCGGCACCCGGGGCGGTGGCCTGCCAAGACCTCCCTCCCCCCCCCCCCCCCCCCCCCCCCCGCCCTCCCCATCTCTCGCGTGCCTGCCGTGCCGTCACTCAATCATCGGTTATATCAGTCATTCGCTAAGACCAGACTTCGGAGCATCTACTAAAAATGCTTGCCTTTTTAACTTCCGGAAAAAGTCGGCGCGCATGGCATGCCATTATCTGAAAATAAGTAAATACATGTCAAAAACATATATTGAAATGTAAAATGCGATAATATTTAATGTGGTTTATTCAACCGGCCAATAGTACAACTAAGGTTTTCTGACACGCGACATCTAGCAAACGCCTGCACCCACTTGCATGAACGTGTGCTCGTGTGAGCGTGACCAGAGGCGCGGGAGTATATCAACATGTAAATTTCGGCGTTTTGTCTATCCGCCAGAAACAATGTTTCTTCTTTCACTAAATACTACTCAGACGGACTCCCCACCGATAATAACCGAATGAACTCACCTTCGTTTAAGCAACGGCCGTCGGCAAATAAATTCGAGAACTATAAGCACCGTTCATCCCCTGAACTTGGAGCCAGAACAAACGTTCACGTGACTGGTGCCTATCCTATGCCGCCAACGCTAATCATAGCCACGCGCTGCGGTCGGCGAAGTAGGAAATGTGCGCAGAGCTACAGGCATTTTTAGAATTCGGCTATTCTTTTCGCCGCAGTGGTTGGACACGAGCCACTACCCAAGTGTCCGCCGAGGCATGGACTGTTACGAGCCGAAGTCGAGTCCCCACGCAGTTCTTGTGTCCAATTCATGAACCGCGCTAGACTCTCGTCAGGCGGATGGTTTAGACCCCATAATTGCGTCATCAAGCTTTGCGAAGGCAAGACTGAAAGAAATAGTCCCCTTTTATCCCCGAAATTTCACCGTGACCAAGATGCTTCTGAATCAGTGACGGTCCGTGCGAGTATACTTGGACCAGTTCGCCTCGGTGAAGTCATGAACATTCCAACATGATGTCGTTTCATGGCCTTTTTAAGAAAGCAAACGCGTGAGCATGTGTCTTTACGAGTGACACTGGGGCGCACTACATCATTATGCAGAACCGGAGTCGTGGTTATTTCTTAGAAAAAAAAATTATTTTAGAACGGGCTCGCTGTTTAATGTTGTATATGCATCTTTTGCGAAATTATTATTTTTTAAGATACGCTGCTGGCCTTCTGAACTCTCAGTAAATGCATAACGTAAAAGCAGCAGATTTCACAGTGTCTAAAAGATTCATCCCCTGCAGGAGATTTCTTAAACTCGAATAATGGTTTGACGGATGAATTGTCTCAGTCATTTAGAGCTCAGTGCTCTCATATACACTACAGGCTGTCGGCCGGGAAAAACAGATTGCGTCAATTATGTCACAAGAATAAAAATACCTAACGCCCAGAAGTCAGCTAAATCTAGTGCTACCAATTGAGAACGGATGCCAGGTTTTCAGAAGTTGAGGATATCTGTTTCAATTGCTAGGAAAAAAATTTCTGAAATCTGCAACAAACAAAAATGGCGTTCGTTTTCTAGCCGTTGACGCAATTTTTTGTTCCCTCGCGTTATTTTGTTCATAAATAATCCCAGAAAACGTTTTATAACTTTTTGCATCCCAAATCATGCTCACAAAACGCTTGAAATTAATCCTAGTCGCTGGCGTTGATGCGAAAAGAGGAGGGGAGTTTGAGTTTTTGCCGATGCGTAATAGACCTTGGCAATCGGAAAAATGTGTTTCGCTTTTCGTTGCTGATGCTATTGCCATTGAATTTGTGACCGAGCTCTCACTTCATTCTAAGTAATTAAACCAGTTAGGCGTTCATCACCTTGTCAATTGTGGCGTTATTGAGGAATCTCTCGTACTCGGCCATCAGTTGCGCCCGCATTGGTCCCGAGACGTTCTGGCTGACCTCTTCGGCGCATTTCTGCACTACGTAATAGTTCTGCATCTCCCACTGTTGCAGAAAACAGAAAACAAAACAAATTGAACGCAGTCAAACAAAACAAAACCTTACCCTGCACAATCGTATGCCCCGTTGTACCGTTGCATGACCAGTGTTTTTTTGTTTTTTTTTGGAAATGCTTGTTGTTTGTTAGGCGACAGAATTTCTACAGCATATGTGCTCAGTGAAACTTCTACGCGGTAGCTCTAGATATATTTCGGAATTATTTCGCGAAAACTTTTTTTACCTGCTCATCAACCAGTTTGACGGCGTTGCTGAACTTTGACCAGCACTTAACCTATTTAGGTTGTACGTTTCTCTGATATTCTAGCCATCCGCTGGCACTTCATTTTCGCCCGACTTTTTATGCTCCCGTCCGTTGAATACGTTGTCAACCTTGTTAAAAAAATTATCTTCAGGAACAAACATATCTAGAAAAGAATTTGAGGAGGAAGGGGTGGGTGAATAATAGAAATAAAGAAGCTGGTCAAAAAAAAATAGTTTTTTTAATCGGCGATAATTTTACACTTGTTTCAAAAGCGCTTGCTCAACCGCCCTCTGGAAACATAAAGAAAGGGCGACGTGCTGACCGTGTGTGCGGTTGGAGCGGCGCGATATATTGCGGTGTAAATGGCATCTGGGGTGTTTCCAAAAATGATTTTGTGTTTCTTCATCGCAAAATCATGCTACGCATCGCCAAACGCCTATTCTCCACCCAAAGGCACCACTAGTGGTACGGAACATATGGCAAGGTTACAGAACTAACTGTTATCTCATCCAAAATTAACAAGCAAGTTTCGGTAACTTAAAGTGAGAAAAGTGGCAACCGTATATAGGCGAATAGATGGCGTCAACTGCCGGTTACTGTCTCTATTTTACAGTGTTGAACAAGATACTCGGCAAAAGCATTTATCCATAAGTTACTAAATACCTGCATCATAAAGTACTTTCTCTACTAAAGTTTTTTTTTTTTTTTTTTTTCATAGCAGAGCATTATGAGCAGACTTGCCCCTGTCTTTAATACTCTACTTAGAATACTGTATTTGAAATACTTTTGGTAGTATATTTGTATCTTGCAAACACATATTTTAGAAAATTTACAACTAATCTTAATTATATTACTACATTATAATAACTCTCTCAAATACATTCTTGAACCTTGAAACAAATTTTTTACGGGAGCAATCTACGGAACTATGGATCGTGAGACTTTAAGGCAAAGCTGAACCGATTGCAAACTTGGAGCCAAACGACTGAACACAGACAGGAAAGGAGGTACGAGCAAAACGCAGTCTCCAAATGCTAACAAGAAACGAAGTGGATAGCCCCCAAGTACGCCCGCCTGTATGTGTTCTCCGGCACGCTTTTCTTTTCATTGTTTAAGTTATTCTTGAATAGCAGGTCACGCTTGGAGCTAGCAAAGTTCTGGTGACGTATTCCGGATTTTACACCTTTTGTAGGAAGCAAGAGTGGCTCCGTCAGCGGAGCATTGTGATGCCAACGCTCGGTACGGTCACATCGGACCATTTTTGATAATCGCTGGTTGAAGAGGTTGCGAGCACAGACAATCCCTCGGCTAAAAAGGCTAGATCAAGCTGGCTTTAGTGAGCTGCAGCGACCTATTTTGGGCTTGCCAAAAGACTTTTTTGTGCCTATTGTGGCTTAACTTTTGCTCCCAAGCTCGTTTAAAAGAGATTCATCGTTTTTCTATTGCGCATATTGTTTCACACTCAGAATCCTCGAACCAATTTTCCAGTTATTTTTTAACTGGTATATTCTGATTCTGAAATATTGATCTCGAGACGTCAAGAAAGGTTTGAGTTGATGCGTAGAGGGGAAGGGGGGGGGGGGGGGGGGGGGGGGCAAGTCGAATGGGGTTTTGGAAGTGGTTTCTTGGTCAATCTCTCGTGTTCCCTGTGTCTCCGTCTCGACCTTCCTAACACATATTTTACAGTCTGTAGATACAGGCACTGCTTCTGGCCCTTGGCTGGGGATACAAATCACTCTGTCCTGGTTGTTGATTAGCGAGAGAGGCTGCTGCCTTTGAGCTCATGTTTGTCCTCAAAAGTCGACATCTGCCGTCCACTTCCGTACGTATCAAGTCTGGCTGCCTAATCTTCTAGTTCGGCTGTTAGCGATATACAGTGCAGGAGAATGTGTTAAGCACCCCCCCCCCCCCCCCATATCGCGACAAGGCATAAACGAACGTATTGCATAATGCGTCATGAGCGGAGCCTGCCGCCAAAAGAAAGCACGGCAGGTGCAATATCTAAAATATGTAAGTCCCCTTTGTTACTAAAATCTTTTGGCACCCATTATGTTGCGTATCCCGAAGTATTAAAGCGAATGCTTTAAGGAGAGCCGGGGTCAGCGTCACTGTCGGCGTAGGCGGGATGGGAAACTTATGATTAGTCAATAACAAGGTGTGTAGTTGGGCTTGTTGGTTGGTCATATTGAAAATATATTAAAACAACACAAAAAAGCTATGGACCAGTGGAAGGAGAGCACAGACACAGCCCTGACTAAAACTGAAAAATTTAGTTGTGCACAGTACAGCAAGTAAACATAGAAATAACTGGATAGACACAAAAACAATCACATCGATAACACACCCCTGTCCCATCATGCCGACACACGCTTACACGTACTTGCCCGACTTCCTAATAAAATCAACCTCGTCACTCGCTATGGCTATTGACTGAGCGATTACACGCATGCACGCGACACAGCTAGTAATAAAAGAGGCCCCGTCAATTTCCCAGGCAGACTTGCTTCTGTGTAGTGCTAATCCCCAAATGTCATCAGATAGTGGAGCACATGTACATTTATGACAATGAACCCCGAGGTGGTCGGTAAGTAATTAATTATTCGGCTGTGAGCAAGACACGCTACCGACTAAGCCACGTAGACATTTTTTTCCCCACAAGGCCGCGCAGACACGCTTGCGCGACCTGGTACTGAGCAGGGTTTCTATTTAGCCGTCGCGTTCCACTCTTAAAGGCGAAGCTTAAGCGTCCCGCTGTAAGTTTAAGTAAACTTCGAGCCGCTAAGGCGCTTCTTTAAAGTCATAAAGATCGCAGCAGAATGTGATCTCCAGCTAAGTCGCCACAAGTAGAGCACTCCTTTTTGACAATTTATATTCTTATATTACCAGCTTGCAACCTACTTACCAAGTGTCTTCGAAAGTAATTCAATTCCTTCTTTTAAGTATCTGTATCTGCTCAAAATAGTTCACAGTAACGGTAACTCTTATACTACTCTAAATACATTTTCAAGTGGGTATTTACCGCCGAATTCAGAAACCTCACTCAAACTTCACTCAAACTGAAGGGCCCCTCCACTTCCTCGAGGAAGGCGCGAGGGCCGGCACTGGCCAATCGCGACGGCGGATCCGTCCTCGCGATTGGCCAGCGCCGGCCCTCGCGCCTTCCTCGAGGAAGTGGAGGGGCCCTTCAGTTTGAGTGTAGTTTGAGTGAGGTTTCTGGATTCGGTGGTTAGTATCTTGTCTTAAATACCTTTGTTGAGTATTTGGTAAAAAAAATCATCATCAGTAGAGTACAAAAACTTAAAAATGTAGTTCAATTACTTTGTAAGATACGTCCGCACCACTCAATTTGTATATTATTCATATTCAGTGGCACCATAATGGTTTATTGGCAATCAACAGAAACAAACAAAACAGCATGTTATTCTGTACAGTCTCAGTATAAAGAATAGTATATTTGGTGCATCGTTAATTATTATATTTCTAAGACCCTTAAAAAAACAGATACTGCTAGTTTTATAAAGCGCACATTGAACGCATCGTTTTATGTTGCTGGGTTTTATGTACACAAAATAATTAGTAAATAAAACGACACTTGCCGCGCCTTTCTCGGGCATGTTACTCAAACACTGCATGAGAGATGACTGAACTTCAAACAGAAAGACAACAGCGCTGCTAAGCACTAGAAACGTGTTCAGAAGGGCGCATAACATTGGAAGGACTTTTTTTTTTTTTTTGAAAGGACATCCTGCTCGTAGCTCTTTTCCTGCCTTGTTGTTGCAATCTTTATCCTCTTGCGTCAAGGTTGGGTTGTCACCGTACCCCAAAGACAGTGAGCCCGACAGTGCCAGTCTGACGAAACAAAGTGGCATCATCTACATAGCGAAAGAAGCATAAAAAGCTAAAAAAATAAAGAAAAGCACCCAGAGAACATTCTAAGTTTTCTTGTGCTCACTCCCCATTTCCTTTTTTTTTCTGTTGGCATTTTAAATGTGAATATTTAATTCTGGCTTATCTCCTGTTTTGTGGTCGGTCCTTTCCGCTTCAAGTTGGCAATTGCTTCAACGTTGAGCTGGGGTACGTGACGATTCCTATTCCGGTAAAATATTCCTGCGACAACACTTTCTTCAAAGATTGAAAAAAAAACTATTCTTCACATAATAATCACAATATACGGAGAAATGTACTTAAAATAAAGTACCACATACTTTCAATCAAACTGTATTCAAGATAGGACATTTTCTACCAAAAGTAATTGAAATACAGTATCTAGAAGATAGTATTTGAGATCGACACAAATCTGCTATTTTCCCATTCAAAGTTTCCAAAAATGGGGGTTAACTTTTTTAATAATAACATAAAGGTCAGTTCTGACATTTAGGTTCAGTACCACTGCGTGTGCTACTGAACCACGAAAGCGAAAAACTATGGAAGAGACCCTTTTCAAAGGTGCGCGCACCCTCTAGAAGCTGCTGCGCAAATTATCCTGCAGTCCCCCATTGTTTGGGCACATACTCTGTTCATGTATTTGACGCGAGATCTGCGCCGGCGTTCAGCGAGGACCCGTATCTAACCACACGCTTCGTGCCCCAGAAATCGCGACCGCCAATGTTACTTGATCGGGTTTCTAAAAGGGTATACAGTATTAAGCTAATAATTCTCACGTAATGCACCACGC